CCCCAGTAAAGCTTCTTGCATTTGGTTTTCACTGGTTTTTGGTTTTATTTTTTGCTACTTTATTAATATACAGATGGTGGATAGGTTTTTGTACATGGGGTAAAGTACATTTTTTGCAAGGTCTTATCTATAGTTATCCACAGTTGCTAGGCTGGAACGACCTTTGGATAATGAGGGCCACCTGTATCAGTGTATAGTCTTAAGCAAGTGATTTAACATGAAATATCATGTGTTAACTAAGCAGATTTAAAAGGTATATGTCATGAGGCTTTCATGTTAAATGAAAAAAGATGCCAAATGTTTTGAAATAGCCAGATGATGGAGCACTGAATTAATACTACAATCACTATCTGATTAAAATTGATAGTAGATTAATGTTTACAATAAATTCAGCACTATGGCAGATGGTGTGCAGACATTTCTAATGCTGACACAAAAATGGTTTTTTGACTTCTTGATGCAAATTAGGATTTTGAGCTGCGATTTAACAAAGGGCTCAGTCCACATAACATTTAAAAACAATGATACAGTTTTGAACACTTAACTACTCAAAGAATTAATCTGGCTAAATATTTGCCCACCTTGAATTAACTTGCAGAAGATATACAGTACTGGCTCTGCATCTCTCACAGTGTACCAGCATCTGTGTTTTAGTAGGACAGGTACCATGAAAAAATATAATCAGAAGCAATGATGTGGGGTTAATTTTACAAAAATTTGAATCGGTTTTGTATTTCTGATATACAGTAGAAAACAAAGTGTTTAATTTTATGTGTTGTATTCCAATAACCTAAAGGATTTGAACTGAAATACTTGGAGTAAAACCTCAATAAAATTTACTTAGCAGTACAATGTTCTATGTGTTTATTTAGAATCTAGTGCAATTATATTCTATTTATACAATTTCAGCCTAAAAGTACCCCTGTCAGCATTAGTGAAAAGGCCCAAAGACATGGCCACTGATTTATTTCAAACTTCATTAGGTTCTGTTAAGCAATTATTAAATGAATTCCCATTGGTTTCAATGCCAGTGACTTATTATACAGCAGCTCCAGAAGTGCTGTATCTGTGTGGGGGAGAGAAAACACGAGCCTCCTTGGGAACAAGCCACATCAGGGAGTATTTTCAGACTCAGAGCCTGATCAGCTTAAAGGCTGTGAGGAAAGGGCTTTTGGTGAGGGAGTAACAGACCAAATTGTGGAAGAATATGCTGCTGTTCAAAGAGATCCAATCCCATAACAGGTCCCTTCACTGATGAAGAACTAAGCCATTCCCTCTTTCTTTTTCTGGTGAGCCAGCTGCAGCTCCACATTTAAAGAAACCAACTCTGCTTGCAGCCCAGGATCCTCTCTTTATGATTCTGCAAGCCAGGATGCACAGTAACAAGTTCAGGATGATGCAAAATGATACTGGCAGGAACAAGCCTGGAAAAGGATTTGCCAGAGAACAACATGCCTGCTACAACAGAAGCATCAGGAACTCTTGATGACCAAGAGAAAGTGAATTGTAGACTTCACTGTTCAACTCAAAGAGGTCAGGCCTTGAAACAGCTCACTTCCCTAATGGGGAACTCAGTTGTTCCCTCAAATAGAAATTGCAGATGGGAAGCAAAGGAGTTTGATACTGTCAAGGAAAAAGACTGCCTAAGCTTCCTCAGCTGAGGCTGGTGTTCCACACTTGCCTGCTGGGAAGGGGAAGACCAAAGAACATAAACTGCTATTGTTAAGATGGTTTATGTTTTCAACTGGACATCATAATTTGATTTAATTATTTGACAGATTGAAGATTCAAGGGAGACTCATATTAATTTTAAAGTTCTGATCCCTGAGTGGGTAAAAAGGCAGATGTGAATAAATGAAACAATCTCCCAATTTCTTTGGTGTGTCCAGTGTTTGCTTTTTGGCACTTGCAATTGCTTGTCTGCCCCCTACCCCTCTATGTAAATGGGTCACTGCCACAATTTGTATTGGTTTCTGTGCATTTTGGGGACTAGAAAGGCTGATGATTCTCCAGGTATGTTACCTACCTTGTCATGTTTCCAAACACTTCTGACTTCTACTTCCCAGCAGTTCTCAGCAGCTTAGAGGGGGATTTAGTGCAGATCTCCTCCTCTGAAGCCAGATTTCTTTTTTCACCTTTCCAAGGGGAGGTCGGACATACAGGTGAAACTCGAAAAATTAGAATATCGTGCAAATGTTCATTTATGTCAGTAAGGCAACTCAAAAG